AATTTCTCATTTCCTCTTTAAGTGTCTCAAACATTCTCCTTAAATTATTTTTTTAGGTCATTTTCTTCTGTTTCATCTATATTTGGTTGTTCAAGTCTTACTGTTGTAGGGTCTCTAGATTTTACTGGTGTTGTGTTGCTCTTTGTGGTGTTGTGTGTGTTCTTACCTTGTCTACTCATCTTTTTTCTAATTGGTGTGGCTGGGGCTGTCTGTGACTCGGGTGATTAATCTTCTAGGTGCCAGTGAAGCCAAGGCTCAGATGGTTGTTCCTCGTGGTAGTCAGTGCCACGGCAGAACATAAATTTAAACTTATGATTTATTTACAAAACATCATTAATCTAGTTTGAACTTGCTCTGAGGTGAAAGTGAGCTAATTCTGTGCAATTAGTTTGAGCAAAAGGAACAAAAAAGGCTTTTGAGTGTTTACAGTCCTATGGGACAAATAGATGTACTTATGAAGCATGTCATTGTATATATTCTATATATACAATATATATATATACAATATAGATATATAATCAAGATTATATAGCTAAAAGAAAAGTCATCTTCCTGACCATCCACAGATATATGTGCCCATAAGACTGAGATGTAATCATGAGAACACATATACACATCACATGAGATTACACACTACAATGCAGGTATTGGGAGATACCAAGCTGATTTAGCAAAAGTGACAGTTTCAGAATTGTCACTGCAGTCCCTGCCTGGACAGGATTAGCCTCCATCAGAGTCACTCTTCTGGTGGGTTGACATCTAAAGTATCAATTGCCATATGCTGTATATTTCCACGGCCTCCAACAGTTTTTCCCTGTGCAGCTCTGGCTGTCCTGGAACTCACTCTGTAGACCACACTCACAAAGATCCGTCTGCCTCTGCTGGGATTAAAATGGGTTCTGGGGGTCAAATTCAGTTCATTATGCTTGTACAGCAAAAACACTTTATGCACTATTTCGCCAACCTGCCAAAGGTGCAGTTTTCCTACTCTACAGATGAATGCAACAGACGAGTGAAAAGAGGTGTTGATACAAGGGGCTCTGCTCCATACAGTCAGTTAAGAACTCAGGATTTCCCACTTTTGTAGTGTTCTGTAAATGTCTATTAGCTGTCTACCTGTGACTTGCTACTTCTTTAGAGGGCCTGGAGACCTTGGGAGCAATGTAAAACGTCAATCTACAACAGCTTGGGATTCTGCACTGTGTGAGACCCTCAAATGGCACTAGTAATTACTAGTTTCCACCTCCACTTTTACCAGTGGCCCAGAGACACTTGGAAGCATCTCACCTAGTTGCATGAGATTAGAACAGTCTGGCCATGTGCTAGAATTTAAAGGCCACACTATATCTCAGTTTGGTGTAGAAAAAAAAATCTCTGCCACAAACTAGAATTCCAGTTTCAAGCAGATACCACTGTATAGAACCCTGGAGACAGAAAATATCATGCAAAACATAGGAAACATGGTATAATTCAGTTTAAACAAAGCCTTAGCAGGAAGAGGGCACGTACCAGACCAGGAAAGCAAAACCCAGCGTGGTGGCGCACATCTGTAACACCTGTAATTGGGAAGTAGAGACAGAAATACTGGGTGTCCAGTTATCCTTAGTTACATGACTTTAAGGCCAGCCTAGGCTTCATGAAACAGTATCAAAAATAACAGGTCAGGAGGGGGGCAAGGGCCCTAGCTGGCAAGACCTAGGAGATTTGTTTAAAATTTTAAAAAATAATTTATGTGCTTGTGTTTTAGGGGGTATGCGTTAAGTAACCACAAAGTTTGGACGAGGGCTACACATTCCCTTGGAGCATTGGACATAATCCCATTACTCGAGGTGAATCTCTATGCATTCAAAACAAGTCTGGTCTACATAGTTTAAGCCCAAACAGGACTATATACAGCCTATCTCAAAAAGTAGCATTGGGGTGGGGTTCGAGAGATGGGTTTAGTGATTAGCAATGCTTTCTTTCTTGCAGAGAGCCAGAGTTTGATTTCTAGCACCTACATCAGGCAGCATACCACCATCTGCTATCTCTACTTCTAGCCAAGGAATCTTCTGACCTCTGTGTGTACCTGCACATAGAAATAACTTTCTCCCTCAAATCTGAGGATCGAACCTAGGGTTGTGTGCTTGCTAGGTAAGTGCTCTACCTCGGAACTAAATCCCCAGCCCCAAAATTGATCTTAAAAAATAACAAACCCAAAACACAACTTTTGGAGCTGAAGTGACAGGTGTTTGTGAGCTGTCTGGCATGGGTACTGGGAACTGAATTCTAGTTCTTTTGACAGAGCAGCAAACACTCTTAATGACTGAGCAATCCCTATAGCCCCCTTAGATGATTTGTGTTGATGGAGTTATACATGATAAGATTTATACTGCTGCAAAGTTCAGCCTGAGTGTGGAGAGTGGCTGGTGAGGGTACTGAGGAATAACAGAGCCCTGGGGACCCTCGTGCCATTGTCCAGCCTCTCCCGACAACACTAGGCATGGTAAGATGACAAGCACCCCAGCTCTTGATTTGCATTTTAAAAAACTTTTATATCGGGAATCTACATTTGATTTTCACTACATTAGAGACTGATTACTCAACATGTACTGTGCAGGAGATAATGTTGGATTGTAAAGATACCCCAGTTTTCTAGGGTCATACTGTCTGACATCACTTAGAATTTTAGTCCTGGGGCAAGATAGCTCAGTGGGTAAAGAAGCCTGCCTCTAAGCCTGAGAACCTGTGTCAGCACCAGAACACATGGTAGAAGAGAACCTACACAGGTCCCTCTACCTCAAATGTAAGTAATTCTCAAAAGTTCTGTGCTGGGGTGTATGCATATATCTAAGGTACTCTGCAGTGAAGATGACCTTGAATTTCTGATCCTTCATTTCTCAAGTGCTGGGATTATGGGTATGTGTTATGACATTTCACTTATGCAGTGCTGTGGACGGAACCTGGAGCTCTATGCACACTGGGCAAGCTTGCTCTCTACCAACTGAACGACATCTCTGGCAGTCCCCAGGATCATTACTCTTGAACTGCAGAGCCAATATCAGGCAATGAAAGAGGAACTTGAACACAAGCTTTCAAATACTTTGACAGCAGTGCTTATTAGAGATAGCTATGTGGTGACTTATAGGTGGGTTGTACAGTGGTGTGGGTACTCTGTACAGAAAGGTATGATTACTAAAAATAATAGCAGGATGGTACAAGGTTTCATCACAAATCATGTGTTCAGAATGGTGCTAAATTAAAAGACACAAATTGCTTTTTAATAAAATTTTCTATACATTTTTAGAATACAGGTGGCTAAAACTATAGTAAGTGAAATCAGATTATTGTTTACAATCAAATCCAAGTATGTTACATAGTATATAAACCAGTTTCTATTGTTCTAGCTATGACCCATGGCTAATTTTATGTTAAATCTGGTTTTTCAAAGTCCCATGATAAACTGTATAGCAGAGGAAGAAAATCTTAATTCTGCTTCTTTGTGCTTTCATCTCTCGAGTGCTGGAATTATAGGTCTGTGCTGTCTTGGCCACATTTTATGTTTAATTTGTTCAAGCTTCATTGGAATATAGCTTAGTGACAAATTAATGATTTATTTTTACATTATATTTATTTCTTCATGCGTGTTATGTATGTATGTGTAATAAGGGATGCATGCCTACCATGGTATTCACATGGAAGCCAGAGGATGACTTTCAAAAGTTTGTTCTATGTGGTTTCTGCAGAGTGAACTCAGTAACCTGACATGGTGGCACGTGTCTTTTCTCGCCTGGTTATCTTTCTGGTCCAGGAGCATCAACATCATTATTATCTGAGATAGTCTTACTACGTAGACCAGGCTGGTAGAGAACTTTCAACCATTATCATGCTCGTACCCCAAGTGCTGGGATTATAGGCTCAAGTGAAATGTGTAAATAGGGGTTAGAGGCTTCTACCTGTTCAGTGTTCATCCTTTCACCTCGTGACCCCTGTATTTTAGTCTTCTTGAGGGTGGTCACTCTAAGTCTATGGAGGCTTTCTTGAGGACAACATCTTTATCCCTATCTTCAGAAAGCATATGACCAGCCCCCTCACTCCCGACAAAAAAAAAAAAAGACTTGAGCCAAGTCAGACCAGCAATAATTTCAGGTTGGTGGTTCAGGGTCTCATTTAGCCCAGGCTGTCTTCAAATTTGCCAAAGATGACCTTTTAATTCTTCTGCTTCCACCTCCCTAGTTCTGAGATTTCATGAGTACCATCACACCTGATTTATGTGGTGCTCGGGAACAAAACTAGGGCCAGCACTCAGGAGGCAGAGACAGGCAATCTCTGTGAATTTGAGGCCAGCCTGGTTTATGAAGAGAGTTCCATGACAGACAGAGCTATTATACAGAGAGACCCTGTCTTGAAACCCACCCCACCAAAAAAGAAATAAGTCAGAAACAATGCAGCCACAATGTTTTATGCTGGTGAAGGTTCAATGCCTTAGGTTTTCTTTTAGGGTCAGTTCTCAAAGCTTCAAGAATCACAGACACAGGGCCAACTCTGAGTAGCTGGGTACTGGACCATGAAGACTGCTGGGATGCAAGGTTCAGACCAGCTTCACAAAGACCTCCTGGCTGACCTCTGCTCAGGTCTTACTTAGCTGCTTTGTGCAGCAGTGTGGACATGCTACCTTGACTTACATCAAAGCACACAAGAATGGTGGGTTTTTATTCTGAGGTCTATTTTGACTGTTCACAGGACATAGGTCCCTCATTGGTGGGATCAAGAAAACTAACTTTCCTTGGCCTGAATGAGAGTATAGATCCTATTTTGTTGTCAGCTGTGACTAATTATTTTCTTACTGCTTTTGGCATCATGGGAAAACACACTGGCGCCCCAAGACAACTTTGTGGGGTGGGGTCTCTCCTTCTCCCTTTAAGGGTTCTAGAGATTGATATGCAACAAGTACTTTCATCTGATAAGCCACCTTACCAGCCCCTAGAGATGTTTCCGATTAAAAAAAGACAAAGTGAGTCTACATTTGTAAACATTTATTCTCTTGAACTGAAAAAGGCTTGAATCAGCACATTGTACAGCCTTGCAAAATTACACAGAAATTAAAAATAAGGTTCCTTGTTCATATGTTCCTTGTGCAATAAATCTTTGATGTCCAGTAATCTGCTGCAAACAATGAAAACAAAACTTAAACCACTTAAGAAGCTTTCAGCACTCGTCAAGTGCATTTCCTCAGGAGATAAAACATCCACATAGGAGAATGCAGATGAGTGGCATTGAGTTATTGGAAGGACACTTAAAAAAAAGTGGAATAATTTTCCTGCCTAGGATGATTCCTATTTCTTTTTAATCTAAGTGGTTTGATTAAGAGGCATTGAGAACATAATTACCTTACACATAATGGGCATACCACCTAAATGAAGAAGGAAGGACCCTGTTAGGGAGTTCTGGATTTCCTGGAAAACTTTTCTGTGTTTAGCAATTCAGTGGAGGAATAATCATCTATTTGTGGGTCTCCTTAGCACCCTCAGCAGCCCCCAAAGGATAGTTTTGACATGGTTTTGACTCGGTTATTCCACTCCTGCATTCTTTTTCTCCCAAAGTCTGAGTTGGTTCACACTGTGCTGGCTGCAAAAAGAAATACAGGTTGCAACTGGTTATAATCACTTTGAAGAATAATTTGCTGTACATAGAGCTTTGGATCTGATACAAGAATTCAGAAATATAAAACAAAATAACTATAAAAGTTAGGAGGCATCTGAACAGCATTTCCTTAGAAAAGCTGCCAACTCTGTATCATTCCTGTGTGGGTTCCTATAGTCACTGGGGTGAAATAGGTATATCCCCCTTCCTTAACTGGGTCCCTGGCCTTTTTCCAAAAGCTGTAACATGTGGCCACACACCCCAGGAGTCTCTATATTAACATCCGCTCCACATATTAAGCCAATCAGATGGGAGAGGGCAGGGGAACTATAGAGGGGTCCAAAAGTGGCTGGTTTACTGAGAACTTGCCCTTTCCAAAATGTGGAAGTCGTAGTGCTTCTTGCTCATTTTCAGCTTAAACTTGTTCACTGAGTGGATCTGCTTCTTCAGTGCACTCTGTGCTGCTGAAATGGAGGGGAACGTGGCTAAGACAGTGTAGGTAGAGGCCAGGTCACTGGGTTTAGAGCGCTCGGGGTTGACAGTGCTATCCCCACTGCCACAGCAGAGAGGATGACGACGTAGCTGGGGTTGAGACTGGGGGTCGCGGAGCCATCGGATCTTGGCGCCAATTTTAAAGAGTTCCCCAAAAAGTTTCTCAGCTTCCATTCGAGTTATTCCATCTGGTAGTTCTGTGATTTCCAAGACCTTGCCAACAACTATCATGGAAAAGGTGAGAGTTAATGCATACCTATCATAGAGACACTGGATCAAGAGTGTTGTTGTCCTAAGACACGGGAAACAATGATCTGACATTATGTAAACTCACAAAATCTCCTTTTCTCTGTAAAATAATTAAAACTCAGCATTAAGTGCTATGCTACTGATTTCAGTCTTCACTGATAAAGTATAGCATTAACCAGTGGTGTTCTCTAGAGCAGGTCACTGGGCAAATCTTTTCTGAGCTTCCCACTCCCAGTGTGAAATAAAGAGCACCTGCCCTCAGCACCCATCACTGCTCGGCAGAACTCAAATAAAGGGCAAAAGCACGGAAAGATGATACCGTCTCACTGCTCTCCATGGGTGAAAATGTGCCTTTTGTTTCCTTGCTACTCTGATATCTTTTCCCTGTAGTCCTCTTTTCTGCTTCTAAAGCTAACTGCCAAGGCCTCACATCACATCTAAGAACCTGAAGGTGGAACTTGTTTAAGAACTCTAGAAAAACGGAGCCCATTTTTGTGGTGTGGTGGGATGAATATTCAGACCAACATCTACTGACACACCTGCTTCGCCAGCTCCAAGGTCAGTGGATGCAGCTTTCTTAGCTTGTCTGCGTCCTCGGTTTCCATGCCTGCTGCCAGACTGACCCTAGAAAACAAGGAAGAGTTGCAAACTAAGTTGTGATATTTGAAAGCATAGCAGCTAAGCAAACATTGGGTTTTGTACTTGAAGAGAGATTAAACTAGTCCCAGGCTGGATCTGCTTTATAACATTGGGCCTCTACTGCACAGCTCACTAGGTCCTCCCCTGCAGACTGTCTTTCATAAACAAGGGCACTGTACCTGTGGCTACCACCATCTTCTGGTATCAGTCGCGAAGCAACACTTAGCCGTGCAGCTGCCACCTTGTCCCTTGCTCTGTTCTACATAGGGCCAGTGCTAACAAGTATCACAGAACTCAGCCAGTGCAGACAGCTGGCCCTAGCACCTCTGACATTCTCAAAAACAGTTAGGATGCTCGACCACAAAGTGTGTGGAGTAGGAACTGCTTGTCATACCTGTTGGTGTGGAATGTGTCCATGCAGAAGAGTAGGAGGGTTGTACTGTAGGGGTTGGCCAAGTAGTGGATACCTGGCATCTCCTGAAAGTCATTAAAAACACATTTTAAGGCCAAGCAGTGGTGGTGCATGCCTTTAATCCTAGCACCCCAAGTTCAAGGCCAGCTTGGTCTACAGAGCGAGTTCCAGAACAGGTTCCAAGGCTACACAGAGAAACCCTGTCTTGAAAAATCAAACAAACAAAAAACCCCAAACAAACAAACAAAAAAAAAACCCAAAACACACATACACACAAACCCAAAAAACTTTTCATGGTTCCCTCTTCTTGACTATAATGTACTTAACCAGAGTTTGTAAACTGTTCAGAAAGAAGATAAGCACAGAAAACATGTTTGATGGGAAACAGGTATTGATAATAAATGTATTTGAGTGTCTGTATGTGTGTGAATGCTAAATAAATTATGAGGGAGTATGGAAGCCACAGGACAACCTGTGGAAGTTAGTTTTTTCCTTCTAGTATGTGGGTACTGGGAATTGAACTTAGGGTCATTAGAACTGGAGACAAGTTCCTTTAATTCTTCAATTGCTGAGCTATCTTACTGAACCAGATGTACTTTTTTTGTTTCTAAATGAAAATATTCTTTAACTTCTTCAAGCAAGTGTAAGCTTCTGAAAGGAGAAGAATTACCGTCGTCAGGGTAACACCTGAGTAGAAAGGACAGGGGAATAGGAGAAGGGATGGAGAAATTGCATTGTATGCCCTCAAACTATGCATTTATTATAAAAAAGTTTTTGAAGGTTTTTTTTTTAAACTATATACGTAGATCACATTGGCCTCAAGCTCAAAGAAACCCAACTGTCTTCACCTCCAAAGAGTTGGTATTAAAAGTATACACCAGAAAACAGCCAACTTTTTAGTTCTGTGTATGTGTCTGTGTACATGAGTGCAGGTGCCCAGGGAGGCTGGAAGAGGGTATCATATCTTTTAGAGCTGGAGTTAAGGGGGTTATGAGCTGCCCAACTGGGAACCAAATTCAGGTCCTCAACAATAGCAGTATTCACTCTTAACTGAAAAGCCATCTCTCTAGCTCATTTACTTAAAACATCATTTACTTAAAAACAAAGTTCATTTATTTATTTACTATTAACTGCGTGTGGGCATGCACTTCTCATAACACAAGAGTGGAGGTCTGAGGACAACTGCAGGACTCAGTTCTCTCTTTCCATCAGGTGGGTACTGGGAAATCAAACTCAGGTTGTCAGGCTTGGCAGCAAAGTCAAGTGTCCTTATAAGCCAACCATTTACCAGACTTTCCTTAGTGTTTTTATGTGCCTGTGTGTCTCCTTAAGTGGATAGGAAGGCAGGTGTCCCAGGAAACCAGAGGTGTTGGATTCCCTTGGAAATAGACTTATAAGCAGTTGTGAGCTAGCTGATTTGGGTGTTTGGAACCAAACTCATCTTCTGTAAGAGCAGAAGAACCACTGAGACATCTTTCCATTTACTTCTGAACCATGGCAATGTATTACTTATTAAAAGATAAATTTTAGTAGGGTGGTGGTGGCATATGCCCTTAAGCCCAGAACTTGGGAGGCAGAGGCAGGCAGATCTCTGAGTTTGCTGTAACATGAAGGGGGCCTGCTTGTTGGGGTTTCTGTCCCGCCCAGTACCCCACAGCTGGCAAGCCCCAAAGAAAATCACACAGAGATGAGTTATAAAGCTGATTGGCCCATTAGCTCAGGCTACTTATTAGCTTTTGCAGCTTATATTAACCCATTGTTCTTATCTATGCTAGCCACATGGTTCGGTACCATTCTCAGTGGGCAGCTCACATCTTGCCTCTTCGGAGTCTGGGCAGGAGTGGGAAGAATCAACTTCCTCCTTCCCAGAATTTTCCTGTTCTCATTGCATCATTTCTATTTCCTGTCTGATATTCCCGCCTATACTTCCTGCCTGGCCAATCAAAGTTTATTTAAAAAATGATTTCACAGAGAGTCACCTGCCCCTGGAGTGCTGGGATTAAATGTGTGTGTCACCACACTCTTTTTATAAATGTTGTGAACATAGTTCATTTTTCCTTCCAGCTAGGAGTGGAATGGCTGAGCTGTGTGGCATGCTGTTAACTATAAGAAACCGCTTCCACTTTCTGCAAAGTGTTTATATTCTATTATAGTCTCATCACTAAAATGAGAAAGTTGCTTTCTCTGTATTTTCAACTTTCGGTGTTCGTCATACTTATTCTAGTGGGCATAAAATAAGGGCTCATTCTTGTTTTAATATAAATTTCTTTAGCAATTGGCTTTGTTGATTAACTTATCAAGGGTTTGATAGAAATCTATATATTGGTTTTTGAAATGCCTGTTTAACCTGCTTTACAAAAATCATATGGTGAATGCTTCCCCATTTAATAATTCTTTTTTTTTATAAAAAAAATTATGGGCAAATGTGTGTTTGAATCTGTGTATGAGTGCATGCCTGAAGAGGCCAGAAAGAGGGGTTGGACACCCTGGAACTGGAAGTGTGGGTCACCTAATGTGGGTACTAGAAAACCTTAGGTCTTCTGTAAAAGAAGTGATATACACGAGCATTCTCTCCAGTCCCATAAATGATAAACAGATGGTTCAGGGATTAGCATCTGCTGCTTTTCTAGAGTACCCGAGTTTGGTTCCTGATGCCCACGGCAGGCAACTCAAAATCATCTGTAACTCTAGCTCCGGGGACTCTCTGAAACTTTTGGCTTCTCTGGATACCTGCACTCACAAACAAACACATACCCTAATACATCATTTAAAACAAAAATTTTCAAAGCATGGCTCTAATATAGAAACAGTGTACCAAATGGCCAAATTATAATGTACCTATTTCTTTCTGATGGACATGTAAGTTTTCACCTTTTTCTTTTCTTTTTTTGGGCCCTAGGTAAATGACTTCCACAGTAGCTATTAATCATCCCCATGCCTATCTGTTCCTCTAAGTACCAATAATGAATTTTCTTTATTCATAAAGTGGGGGCACATCAAATTTTGTATAAATGCTTACTAAATCAATTTCTTAACAAGCAAACTATAAACACAGAACAAATATAAAACATTGTGTACATTACTATGAGGGAATTACTAAGTTTCTAATTAAGTATTAGCACCAAGACTGATAACACAAGTTTGATCCCTGGAACAAACTCCTGATTTTCACATGTAGCACACACTCATGCAAACTAAACAAATGTATACAGTTATACAGAGAAGAGTGACAGGTATCATGAGGATGGTTTACCGTTCTCTGAACCTGTGGCAAGATTCAGGAACACTTACCCTGCGCAGGAACAAAAGGTCTAGCAAACTGGGACATGATGGAAAGTGGCTGTCCTGAGGGACGGATGGTCTTCAGTGTTGACAGCTGAGCTGGTGCTGGTGACTGCACTGGAGAAATGATGGGGCTGCTAAGTTGAGGGCTGTGCTGCAATCACAGTAGAGAGGGAGATTAGGCAGTGTGCAGGCTGTTGAAAAGTTCCCATTTGGACAAATTTTTTATTCACTGAATAATAAATTGATACCTATTTAAAAAGTTCAATCATTATGAATAATCTTCACCTGCAAACACTAGCAACAGATTATCCCTATGCATTTGTGTTTACACATCATCATTACAAAAATGAGAACAGACTATTATATTGTTGAAACTTGCTTTGTAACTTGGCAATAATGTTGCTGCTTTTGTAAGAATATATATCTCAATCTTTTCTAAATTAAATGTTTACAAAATTTTATTTCAAAATAATTTCATTCTTGGAAAATAAGAGTATAATGCAAAGGATTCCTAAGTTTCCTAAATGGTGATTTTTTTTGCAGTCTTATTGTATAGCCCTGGTTTGCCTCAAATTCAATATGTAGACCAAGCTAGCCTCAAACTCATTTCTGATCTTCCCAACTCTGCCTGGGTTTCAGGCATGTGCTGCCATACCCAGGTTACATCTTCTTTATATTCATTTGCTTTCTCTTTTACAATTATATGACTTTGTGATTTGAGAATCTTCTGATATATATGCCAATATACCACCTTATGTAATCAGTAAAGTACACTTACAAGATCATTGCAATGGTGCAAGATGACAGGAATTTTTCAGTTCCATTACAATCTATTTTCTTTGAGAGCAATGACTTGAACCTAGGACCTCAAACATGCTAGGCTAGGACTCTACCACAGCTGACTGTTATGCTCTTGACCAATGTTTATACTACTTACCGACTGAAATGATGATGTGGAGCACAACGTATGCATGTTATTTTTTTTCCTAAAAATAATTTGATTGAGCAGCTCATGATACTCCTTTAGGAGAAATTAATAAGTGTCTAGTCTCTAAATATAATGACACTTTCTACTTTATTATTTTATATGTGTGGGTATCTTGTCCGCATGTACATAAGGTAGTACTATGTGCATGCCTGGTGCCAATGGAGGTCAGAAGAGGGCATCAGATCCCTTAGAATTGGAGTTACAGATAGGTGTGAGTTGCCATGTGGGGGGTTGAGAATCAAATCCAGGCGCTCTGGAAGAGCAGCCAGTGCTCTTAACTGATCAGCCATCTCTCCAGTCCATAGCAATTTCTTATAAAATCTTATAGGACCACCACTAAGAGATGAATAGTATAATACTACGACCCAAACTACAGAGTTCTTTCAAATTTTGACAAAGGCCCGAATAATGTCCTTTCTAATAACAGAGAAGCAGTAGAGTCCCCTACATTTCTGGAATTCAGACTAGAACCAGAGCTGTCCTGAGCTGGAGCTACTATGCTGCTTCTGCACTCTCTGATCCACAGGTTCTCTTTCAGAGAGCTGACATCTTTGAAGACTCGTTTCTAAAGTGTATTTTGACTTTTGTTTTTTTCTCCCTGATATAGGGGCTCAAGCTCAGGTTGGCTTTGAACTCATGATTATCCTACTTTAGAGCTCTAAGAACTGAAATTACAGGCATGTATCACCACTGTGCCTGGCTTGCTGTACCATTTTTTACTGAACAAAATCCCGAAAGTGGATTTGTAACTAGACTTTGTACCTTGCATTTTAGAAAATGGGAAAATGTCACCAATTGGCATTCCAAAAGGAGTTGTATTAATTTATACTACAACTCAGAAACTCTAAGTGAGCTTAAAGCTAGGTGTTTGCGAACATTTTAGATTATGTTTCACTGAACTTTCCTAATTTGACATATGAAGAACTTTAAGATTAGAATGAAGCTCAGTGTCAGAGTACTGCCCAACATGCCATGCATGTGGCCCTGGGCCTATTCCTCAGCAAAACACACACACACACACACACACACACACACACACACACACATACACACAGCAAACCCCCAAACCAAGTAAACATAGTTTAATTGTTTAATGGTCACTGGCCATTTACAGTTTGTTAGCAAATCTATACATAAACTGTCTGTGTTTACTTAGCTATGATATCATCAAATGTACTAAAAATTATTTTTCTCCTACTTGGTCTTTTAAAAAGTTCTAGTGTGCAGGTGGACAAATGGCTCAGAAGGTAAGAGGATTTGCTGTTCTTGCAGATTATCTAGATTTGGTTCCTAGTGTACAAGGTGGTGTACAACTACCTGTAAGCACAGTTCCAGTGAATAAGACATCTTCTGACCTGTGTTGTGTACAGACATACATGTAGGCAAAACACTCATAACACTTATACACATCAAATCAAATAAACAAATAAGTCTAAAAAAATTAAAAGAAAAAAAATCCTACATAAGTGTGGTGCTTATAATCTTAGCATTTGGAGGCAAAGTCAGAAAATTTCAAGGCCAGCAACCTGGCATGAATTGTGAGTTGTAGGCCAGCAACTACATAGCAAGAATCTGTTTCAAAACAAATAAATGATATTCTAAGAGAGAAATACCAAGTTACATATAAAGACAGGCCCTTTAGAATAACCCACCCCTGCTGTACAGAGGTACTGAGGAATACTGCAGTCTGAAGAGAAGACTGATAGACCTGAGAGGGCACAAGTAATAAATCAACAACTCTACAACAGTTGATGATCAAAAGAGGCCCAAGAAAATACCATAACAAAATAACAGGAATTAATAAGCATGTTCATAATAACTCTCAGTATCAATGACATAAATCCCCCAAATAAAAAGACAGATTAGCAGACTGGATTAGAAAACAGGACCCATTTTTTTTTTTCTTTTTGCTGCCTCCAAGAAACATACCTCACTATCAAAAATATACACCAACTTGGGGTGAAGGATAGAAAAAGGTATTTCCTGTTGGGCATTAGTGACTCATGCCTTTAATCCTAGCACTAGGGAGGCAGAGACAGGCAGAATTCTGTGAGTTCAGGGCCAGCCTAGTCTACAGAGTGAGTTCCTGGACAGTCAGGGATGCACAGAAAAAACCCCATCTCAAAGAAATCAAAGGGGGGTGGGATTCCAAACAAATTTAAGTAAGAAACAAGAAAGTATAGCTATTCTAATATCTGACAAAGTAGACCCCAAACCATAACCAATAAGAGGCAGGGAAGGACTTTCAAAGCAATTAAAGCAAAACCCTCCAGAAGACAAGTCAATTCTTTTCTTTTGAAAAATAATTTATTATTATCTTATGTGCATTGGTGTTTTGCCTGCAGGTATGTTCATGTGAAGGAGCCAGATCCCCCAGAACAAGATACAGGCAGTTGTGAGCTGCCACGTGGGTGCTGGGAACTGAACCCAATAGACAGGTCATTCAGACGAAAACCAAACAAAAATCGGTTGCCAAATGACACTGTATATCAAATGCATTTACACCAACTTCCATCAAACATTAAAGAGCATACTTTTTTTTTAGCAGCCAGTGAAACTTTCTCCAAAACTAGCCATATATTAGGACACAAAGTAAGTCTCAACAAATTTAGGGAAACTGAAATATCATCCTGCCTTCTTTTGGACTACAAAGGAATAAAGCTGGGAATCACAGCAACAAAAACTGCAGAAAGTAGACAAACTCATAGAAACTAAATAACCCACTTGTGAATGAAAATTAGGTTAAGGGAGAAATCAAGAAAAAAGTTAAACGTTGGGCAATGGTGGTACAAACTCGTAATGTCAGCACCCAGGAGGTAGAGGCAGGTGGATCTCTGTGAGTTTGAGGCCAACCTGGGCAAAAGAAAGAGTTCCGGAATAGCCAGGGCTACACAGAGAAACCCTGTCTCGAGAAACCAAAAACCAAACCAAACCAAAATAACAAAGAAGTCCACAACATACCAAAATTTATGGATATAATAAAAAGCAGTTCCTAGAGAAAAATTTAAACCCCTGAGTGCCCTACATCAAGAAGGTTTCAGAGATCATATATTAAATATGAGCCTTTGAAAATATTGTCTTAGAAAAAAACAAGAACAAACACTATCAAAAAAGAGTGATGGAGCAGGAAGAGTTGGCTCAGCAGGTAAGAATGCTACTGCTCTTGCACAGGATCCAGGTTTTGAATATATGAAACAATAATAACTAAATAATTTGATGAGGTGCACTGAAGAGGGAGTAGAAGGGGCATGGAAGGAGAGTTGGAGGGAGAAAATTATGCAAATTAAAAAATGCTAATAGCAAAAAAACTAAACCACAAATAGGTTGGAGAGATGGCTCAACAATTAAGAGGACTTGCTGTTCTTCCAGAACACCTGGATTTGATTTTCAACACCCAGACGGTGACTAACATTCATCTGTAACTCCAGTTTTAGGCGATCTGCCACCCTCCTCTGGCTTCCAAGTGCACCAGGCATGTAGATACAAATATACATAAAATAAACAAGTAATTAAAAGATAAAGACTTTTTGTAAAAAGGTTAATTTCTCTACTAAATATCCCATTTAAACCACATAAGTAGTTTTTTATACATCTATACACCATCCTCTGGGCCTAAAGAATTGGTTAAATTTAGGTTCAAAAGGTATTTAGATTTGTTTTTGTTTGTTTGTTTTTTGAGAGGTCTCACTATGTACCTACCCCTGAGTTGGCCTGAAACTCTCCAGAAAGACTAGATTGACCTTGAACTCAAGATATCTGCCAGCCTCTGCTTTCTGAGACTAGGTTCAATTTTTACTTTCCTTTTTCTTCTCTCTCTCTTCTTTTGACGAAAGCACATTGTAGGTGACTTGTACTTCCTCACACATCACATTAAAAGGTGAATATTTGAGTCACCTTCAGTGACTGTGACAACTGATAACTACAACTGTCCACTAGGTCCAAAGTTATTTGCCTAATCTGTCTACTTTAAAGGTCCCATTAACATTTTTATTTAATGGTTTTAGCATGCTGACAATTTTTACTTGTTCTTTGTTGACAGGGTTTGAAGGCCAAACTCACTATATAGCTAAGACAACTTTGTACTCCTTGTTTTCCTGTTCCAGCTTCCAGGTGCTGGGATTATAGGTGAATAACACCATGCCTGGTGTGATGGTTTAAATAAGAATGTTCCCATAGGCTCACTTTTTAAAGTTTGATCCCTAATCCATATAACTGTTTAGGAAGGATTAGGAGATAGGTGTGGCCTTGAGGAGGCGTGTCACTGGAGGTGGGCTTTGAAGTTTCAAAGGCTCACACCATTCCCAGTTAGTCCGTCCTCTCTGCCTTGTGATTGTGAATGAAAGCACTAAGACACTGCTCTACCAGCATGCCTGCCTGTCACCATGCTCCCTGATGTGATCATCACGGACTCTAACCCTCTGGGACAGTAGTCCCAATAAATGATTTATTTTATAAGTTGCCTTGGTCATCGTGCCTTTTCATATTAATAGAAAAGTAACAAAGACACCTGGTGCTTCAATCTTCTTCTTTGCCAAACTTGAAATTCTGCTTCAGCTTTCTGAATGCTGCAAATTTAAAGACATGAACAAGTATTCCCAGTTCTCTTTTGATACATTTCAGGTCAAATTTATTTTGAACATAAATAAGTTGGCAAATAAAAGTGAGGTATAGAGATCATGAATTTGAGGCCAGGCTAGGCTACAGAAGACCTTATTTTAAAACTTGGAAAATAGTATTTGGATACTGATATAAATGTCTGGAGTAAGAACAGTTCAAATGTCCCTATTAATCTTAGGAGGATTTCAAATGTGATGAAAGGGTTGTTTCTAAATAACAAACCAAGTCACTTAGAGCTTTAATCTCAGAAGCAGAGGCAAAAAGAGCAATGTGATTTCCAGGTCACAGGACTACACAATGAGACTGACTCAAAAACAAACAACAAATAGATAATGAACAAATATCTTACCTGAACAACATTATCTATGTTGCTAAATTCCAAACACTTCTGCCCTCTCTGATGGTCACAGTAGTATTTGTTTTGTTTCCACTGTGGGGGTGAGTGCGCCCGGGACTGTGGATTGTTTGGTAGGTTGAGCTGCATCATCACCATTCCTCCACCAGGTGGCTGCTGTGGCACAGCTGGAAATCAGGAGAATTAGCACACTGAAATCAGCGTGTTTAACACTAGGAAAACAACATTAACTTCAAATTTCTGAATCAGATTCTATAACTATGTATATAAGCCAGATTCAAGCTCTCATGTAGCCTGCTACACATAAGTGATATGTTAAACACACACACACACACACACACACACACACTTCAAAACAATAAAAAAAACAAAATAAAAAAGGCAGGAATTCTTTAGACCTAAACATCTGAAAGAACCTAGTAGAAAACAGCATAAAATATATACTTTATAAATGCTCCTAATTTTTAAAGTAGATGTTTTCCAAATAAAAACAAATTTTATGAGTATTTTGCCAAAAATAAGGGCCAGGCCAGTCATGGTGGTACATACTTTTAATCCCAAAAGAGGCACACAGATTTTTGTGAGTTCGAGAACAGCATGGTCTACATAGAGTTCCAAGACAGCCAGGGCTATTTACAGTGATAAACTCTATCTCAAAAACTAAACTAAACCAACAAGAAAATAAAACCAAAAATAAGAGGAAAGGTTACACTTGTACAGGGAAAATATCGCCCAGGGGGTCAGAGAGCCCAATTTTAGTACTCTGAAAAAATCTGCCCCAGAAAATAATTTCACCTCTTTTAGTTTGCTTTCTCACTTGAAAAAGGAGGTCAGCCAAGATGAATAAGGTTGACTTTATAGAGTTGCAAAAGTTGTATATATGTAAAAATACTTTGCTGAGGGCTGGCCATATTGCTCAGTGAGTAAAGGTGCCTGTCGCCAAGCTAGATAACCTGAATTTGATCTCTAGGACCTACATGGGGGAGGCAAACAACTCCTGAAAGTTGGTTGCTCTCTGACTTTCACTAACTCTATGCTTATCATAGAGTTAGACAGACATTCCTAATAAACACTTTACTAATTGTTCAGAAGATAAAAAAACAGGGGTACCTTCTTATTTCTCTTGCATAGATACTACTGCATTTTGTGTGTATATATGTACCCTGTGTGTACAAGGGTACACACACTGAGTCGCGGCACATGTAAGGAGATAGGACAACTTCTACCTTGTTGAGGCTGTGCTGCATATTCCAAGCTTCCCAGTGACTCTGCCTTTAGTTTAGCATAGAAGTAAGTACTGGGATCACACGTGTGCCACTACATCCAGCCTTTTTGTTTGCTTGTTTTGTTTTTTGTGGGTGCATGGCGGGGTGGTGGTGGTTGAGACAGGGTCTTATAAAATGTGACCTGCCTGGCTTTGAAGTCAGAGATTTGGTTACCTCTGCTTACTGTTTGCTACATTAAAAGTGTGCACTACCACACCTTTTATTTATTTTTTTAAATGTATGTTCCACGGATCAAGCCTGGATTGTCAGGCTTAGGTGGCTAGTGCCTTTATCCACTGAGTCATATCCTAGGTCCCATTTTAGTAGCAAGTATGTGCTTTACCAGATATCAAGAACATTAAGCTATGCGATATAGATCTATGCCCCGATTAAGGACCTTAGTTGGTACTATAGTAATCCTAATCGTGGTTCCAGTTCCCTACATATAAAACCAGCTTGACTGGGCAGGATGTCTCAAGATCTCCTAAGTGTGAACTGAAAGTGGCCCAGGCTGGATAAAGCCACAGTTAGTCATTTACTGTTTATCTGTCAACAAACTATCACGGGAAAATGCAGTGTAATGCTAAAGATTTGTATACAAGCAGAGAGAGGCATTAGAGCTTTTCAAAGACTTGGAGAAACATTTGACAAAGAGAAGATCTGGGGGATAGTCTTTCCTAGATGGAAAAACAGTAAAATAAGTACTTCTGGTGTGAAAAATTGTAATTTGCAGCCCCCAAGAGGCTGAGAAAGGAAATGAGCCTTGAATTTGAAGCAAGTCTGAGACAGAATGAGCTGTAGGCTAGTTTGGTTTTAAAGAAAGACACAGTCTCAAAAGGGAGTAATAAAAGGAAAAAACATGCAGTTGTAGTAAGAAATTAGGTTCTGTGCATCTGAGCATGCGTGTGTAACTGGGAGGCTTGCTAGTGAGGAAGGGAAAAGGGGCAGTATATTTGAGTTTGTTATTTTAAGATTTGTTTTTATGTTATATGTATGGTGCTTTGTCTGTGTGGATGTATGTGAGTGCACTATATATATGCAGTATCTGAGGACTTCAGAAGAGGGGAATAGATCCCTTAGAACTGGAGTTAAAGCCAGATGTTAGCCATCATATGGGTGCTAGGAACTGAACAAGGGTCCTTGGAGGAGCACCAGTGTTCTTAACTGATCGATGAGCTATATAGCTCCAGCCCATATCTGAGTTTTTTATTCAGAGAATGACATGAAGTAATTTCTGTTACAGGACAATAGATTGGTAACTGTGTGTGTGTTGGGAAATGCAAAGGCATTAAACATGAGCACAGCAGGGAAGACGGCACTGAGGAAATAGTGACTCTGTGTGACAGGGAGTCACAGAGAGTCATGGTTCTGAGACCTCTGCATTAGTCAGTAGATAGAGGAAATAATGAGCCTGACATGACTTTGAACTTCTGGGTAGAGATGTTCAGTAGAAACTGGCTACATGATTTTGTTTCAGTAGGAGCAAGAATTACCAGATATCAAAAAATAATAGCCGAGGCCTTAGGTTGATCTGATTATACAGAAGGCTCTAGAAAATAACCTAGAAAGGACTAGGAAAAGTATCCCCAAGATTACCAACCTCATAGAGTGGGGAGAATAAAGGCAGAACAATGAGCCGGGTACTAGAAAAGGAAGACATGACCTGCACATGCTATCCTGACTCAGCACAGTACACGAGACATCTGAGTGCATGTCAGCAGTCTGCCAGCTGAGAACCAGTCAACTACCCTCAAATGAATGAACCCCGAATCTGTGTCAGCTGTTAGGCATACCTGCACACTGATGGCCTTGGAGCTGCTGAGAACTGCATGGTGATGTGGTTCGAGGAAACTGTACTTGTTCTGACCCTGGATGCTGTAAGTAACCAACTGCAGAGCTACAGGGTAAAACACCAAACACAGAAAACAGTACAATGAAATGAAGATAATTAAAAAGTCTGAAATAAAATTCCTTCAAATGTATTTAAATAGATGTATTTTTCAAACTGGCAGGCAGGAGTCAAACCTCATTTAACTCTTTGTTCTGTGATCACTCAGTAAAAACCACTTTACATTCACAGCACTGACCAATATACTGCAAATTTTACGATGATTCTAACATTTCTATTGTAGTGATCAAGTAGTGATTTAAAAAAAGAAGTCACGCTACATAGTGGTGGTTCAATATTTTCTCTTAATCCCAGTACTTGGGAAGCAGAAACTGGCAGATATCTGTGAGTTCAAGGATAGCCTGGTTTACAGATCAAGGTCCAGGACAGCTAGGGTTGCACAGTGAAATCCTGTCTGGAAAAGAAAAACAAAAACAAAAAAACAAAAACCCCAAAACAACAACAAAAAAGAAATCACTAATTTATAAAATAAAAAGTGATGTAACTGGAGTTCATGAAGTACACAAAAGAAAATGTGAATACGAAGGGTAGTGGGGAGGGGTATTTGGGAAGATTTGGAGGGCAGAAAGGAAGGGAGAAATGCAATTAAGTTATAATCTAAAAAATAAAAAAGGACGGACAATTTGACAATAATGAGACTCAGAAAAGAAATGTTGTTTCTTGAAAAATGTAGCAAGATGGGCAGAGGTGGCACATGTCTTTACTCCTAGCACTCAGGAGGCAGAAGGAGGTAAATCTCTGAGTTTGAGGCCAGCCTGGTCTATAGAGTGAGTTCCAGGACAACCAGGGCTACGTACAGAAAGTCTGTCTTGAAAAAAAAAAAAAAAAACCAAACAAAACCAAGAATCAAAACAAATAAACAAAAACAAACAAACAAACAAAAACCCCTCAAAAAACCCAAAGAAAACAATTCAGGACCCAGGACTAGTGTGGGCCCCTTTTAGGTAAATCTTCCCACATCAAATGAGGTCAGCTAGACAACACTACCCTTACCCATAGGCATGCCCAAGGCCAGTCTGAGCTAGGCATTCCCTCATTAAGACTCTCTTCCAAAGAGATTCCGAGGTAACAACCTAGCTGACAATTAAAACTAGCTATGGTAATAAATGATGAGGTTTCAGAGCCTGCTTCTCAGCCTCCTTCGTCAGTGCTATATGTCATTCTTCAAACTCTCAGACCATGTCTGACCCAGCGATTTGAGACTAGAGCCTCCAATCCATTTGTCTGAGTCTCACTCAGCCTCAGTCAGTTTGCTGGTACCTCAGCCCTAAAGCTGAACCCCACCATATATTGTCAAAAGGAGGGACAAGCAAATTAGCATTAGTCCTGAAAGGTTCAGGAATGTCCCAAAATGTGGGAGAAGCCTAGTGAGGGCACCTCAGTACCTGGTAACAGGAAGTACATGAGGAAATAACATGCCAGGTCAGGCCTTTAATCCTAGCACTTGAGAGGCCAAGGTGGGTAAATCACTGATTTTGAGGCAAATCTAGACAGTAAGTTCTTGGCCAAGTACGACTACATAGTGAGACCTTTAAACAATTACTTTTTATAAAAGGATATTATTTATTTATTATGTATATAGTGTTCTGTCTGCATGACAGAAGAGGGCACCAGATCTCATTACAGATGGTTGTGAGCCACCATGTGGTTGCTGGGAATTGAACTCAGGAACTCTGGAAGAGCAGTCAATACTATTAACCTGTGAGCCATCTCTTTAGTTCCACACAATTACTTTAAAAAAAAAAAAAAGATATATATAATGAATACAATACTCTGCCTGCATGTGTACCTGCCCCTGAAGAGGGCACCAGATCTCATGAAAGATGGTTGAGCCACCATGTGGTTGCTGGAAACTGAACTCAGGAGCTCTGGAACAAGAGTCAGTGCTCTTAACCGCTGAGCCATCTCTCCAGTCCCACACAATTACTTTTTAAGAGATTTATTTATGTTAAGTCAGCCAGAGTTGTAAGCAACTGTTAGCTGCAAGAAGTGGGTGGTGCTAAGAACCAAACCCAGGCTCTCTAGAAGAGCAACAGTTTGTAACTGCTGAGATGTTTCTCCAGTCCCTACTCTCATTTTTAATCAGGTGTGGGTGTTGGCATATAGGTAAATAATTGTACATGAATGCAGGAGCCTGTGTGGGCCAGAGGCATTAGGTCCCCCAAAGATGGTGTTGTAAGCCACCAAGAACTCTTTACTGCAATGCCATCTTTCCAGGCTCCATTTTCAGAGATTTTAAATTCACATTAATTTCTATTTTCAAAGGGCTGGAAAATTAGTTTATATAAATGTTTAGAAATTATTAGAAAAGGGGCTTGAGAATGTTCAGTAGTTAAGAGCACAGCTTTTCTTACAGAGGATCTAAGTTCAGTACCTAGTACCCACATGACGGGTCACAACCACCAGTAACTTCAGTTCTGGGGGGATCCAATGCCCTCTTTTCCTCCTGGGCATTGCATACATGTGTTGCACTTACGTACACGCAAAAAAACATATACACATATATAAAATAAAAATAAATAAATCTAAAAAATTACTAGATAAATAGCATCATACATTTTTTGCTTTATAATAGAAAATTATTTTAGTAATTTAGTCAACTGTAGGCCTCTGGTGCAGCACACCACACTCCTGTGCACGGGAGGTTTTGTAGTCACACTCACCTTAAATTACTTTGTTGGCCAGGTGGAATGACACTGTAGTAGACTGGCATTCCTGTTGTGGGCAGAGATCCTTGATTAGACTGGTTAGGGAACACAACAGGCTGTTGGTAAGTCTGATGGGCAATTCCTTGGGAACCTTGAGGCAGTGAAACCTAAAATTGGAAGACAATTAAATACAAAAATGTTTTTCTAAACCTTGCAGATGTTCATGTCCAGTTGCTTGTAAAGTACTGGTAGAGAGGAGAAGCTCACCACAGTACTACCCTAACAGTTTATGTGTCCTTGGACCAGCTGTTTTGGACTAATGGAAATCATAATAGGCTAAGTGTATTCAATTTTTGAAAAACATGATTTATTCTTTTAAAAGTTATTTAGAAAAATAAGCCCTGAGCAAAAAGATGATCATGTGACAAGGAAGAGACATCCAATTTACCTCAGGCAAAGTTTACAAGGATTCAGGGAGCATATCAGTGAAGCACACTAGGTCATAGTGAGAGCTATGGAGCTTCGGTTGTCCAAAAGAGGCCCCATCTCCTCACTTGACTACTTAAGAGACACTAAGGGCCCTCAGTTCCACATCAGAAAAGCTGGAAGTGACTCTGGAAACTGCTCTGAGCAAAGACAGAACATCTAAAGGAGTGAGTACAGCAAGCATCTGGGAAGTGGATTTTCAAATCACTAAAAGCAACTGGATGGTCATGTTAGATCTTAACACTCTACTTCAGTTCTCCAGCTTCTAAATCATAAACCACACAGGCATAATAAGATATCCTGATTTATAAATGTACCATAAAATTATAGTGGGTTGTAGTGATTTTATTAAATAAACCCAACATATAAACTTATGATGGGATGCTGTCAAAGTGATGGTGACAGTGAAGATCAACACTACTGAGGACTTACTGCCAGGTTCCAGATGCTTTGTGTAGATCTCATTAAAACACCCGAACAACCTATGCAACTACTTTCATAAATTCTTTGGAAACTTTTTTCCTTTTGAGGTTGTTTTTTTTTTTTTTTTTTTTCCCCTGTTGCTGTTGGGTTTTATTTGAGAAAGGGCCTTGCTATTGTAACTGATCTTAAAATTGCACTGCAAACCAGGCTGGCCTAAAACTTGCTGTAATCCTCATGCTTCTGCCTCTAAAGTAGAACATTACAGGTGTTGTGCAACCATGATGGGCAACATCTCTGTTTTAGTAAATTGACTGTAATTACATAATTTCTCTAAAGTTTACTATCATTCTAGGCTACTCAGTATCACACAGTAAAACCTAGCCTTTAAAAAAAAAAGACTTAAAATTAAGTTTAAGTCTTATCTCTAAAATACAACCTGTAACCAGTCATCTCAAAATACAAAACTGTTAATTACTTTCCCTTTGGTGCAATTATTCCAAATTAATCAAACAAATAATTTTGTCTGATTTATCCATCTTTGTAAAATATAACTGAAATGTCTGTTTACTAAGGAGGTGTATAATGTTTTGAGATTATTTCCAGTTGAATAAGTTAAAGTTAAAAAGGAAAGCTTTATCTAGTTGACTTCGTGTGTGCATATATTGTACACCGAAAACACAGGGTGACACTGTGTGTACCTCAGTCACTCTCCTTGTATTTTTAGACAAAATTTCTCACTGAACTTGAAGCTCACCAATTCCAGTAGGCTGGCTGGGCCAGAGCCCTCATGTTTCCATCTACCCAACACTGAAATCACAGGTGTGCACTGCTGCCCCTTGTTTTGTGGATGCTGAAGATGGACCTCAGGTCCTGATAATTACACAAGAAGCAGTATTAAGGACTGAGCCATTTCTCTAGCACTCAAATGTATTTTTTAACAAGGAAAACACCTGCCAGAAATGGTGGCGAATGCCTTTAATTTCAGCACTTGGGAGGCAGAGGCAGGTAGATCTCTGTGTGAGTTCAAGGCCAACCTGGTCTACACAGTGAATTCTACATAGTGTGACCTACATAGCCAGACCTACTTAGTTGGATTCTGCTTAAGATTATGTGGTATCCACTGCCTCTAGGTCCATGCCAGTTTGAGTGACCTGCACTGCTAACTGGAGCCATAGTGCCATCCAGGTCAAGGCTGCTGCAAAGGACCATGTCTGGATCCATGGTCCAACAGCAGCTGGGGTCTGTGTGGATATTCATGGCTGGTATTGCCACCAAGAGCCACGTGGATGTCAGGGGTCTGGGCTGTCACCTAGGGCCATTTTAATGCCCAAGGACTGAGCATCTGCATGGCCATATAGATCTGAGTAGCCTGAATTGCCACCCAGGAACATGGTGTTGCCCTGGCATGGGTTGCTGTGGGAGGCTATGTGTGGGTCCATGACCCTGCCATAGTCCAAGTCAGTGATGAGGTTTGCCACAGAAAGCAGTGAGGACAGAGCTGCAGAGTTGGCCATGCCCCTCACTGGCTGCAGCTCTAGGGAGAACTGGTCCTCCTACCTGTCACCAACTGCAGCATTTGGGAGAGTGGGTCCTGTACCTCACCTGGGCAGCACAGTAGAGTTGGCCCTGGCAGTATGAGTGCAAGTGAGCCAACCCTGAAGGCTTGAGAGTGGCAGAACTAGCTCCACTATCTGTCATGCAGTGATGTTGGCAATGGAAAGATACCCTTATTCCCCTTCCCAACCTACAGCACGTGGGAAAAGCTGGTCTCAGGGTCACGAGAGTGGGAGAGCTGATCTGGCCCCTCACTGGCTTGAGTACTCGGTAGAGTGGGCTCTACACCTAGTCTGGGCAGCATAGTTGAGGTTGTTGACACAGATGCAGGTGATCAGACCTGGTGATAGCGCATGGGAGTTCAAGCTCCATCCCTCATTTGTTATATAGTTACGTGGGCAAGGGAGAGAAGACCTCTCTTCTCCCCAAACCCTTGTTAACTGTGGTGGGTGGGAGAGCTGGGTCTGGGGTCATAAAGTCATAAGAGTGAGAAAACTGGCACTGCACCTCACCTGAGCAGTTAACTGTGTGTTTAAAAATATATGTAGGCTTGGGAAAGAAAAAGGATGGAGAAAGTCCTTTAAAAAGAGATAGAATAATAATAAAAAAAAAAGCCTAGTAAAGATAGAAAGTACAGAGTCTGAATACTGTATGATAATGTGTTATCTTTGAATTGTTTGACTGCTGAGGAAGGAGCAACAGCTGCTAAAGACATTTGATTATAAAAAGTGTTGAATTAAACAAACCTATTTATTTTAAAAATATCTTGACTTCAAAATTTAAGTCAAAAGGTACGTTACTTTGGCAAAGAGGTTCTGCTTTTATATGCATAAGAAATGAGAGGCTGTGGGTTCATTCTGGGATAAGAAAAATCAGGTTTGATCAAGGAAGATGGCCCTCCCCTTAAAAATCTCCAATAGGAACAGACTGCCCAGATGATCCAACTTCTTGGAGTGCCTCTGCTGCAGTTCCCCAAGTTCTACATCCATAACGACTTCAAAGTGACTAGTTGAGGTGATTCAGCATCATAGAATACTCCAGTCAGGATTTATCATACTCCTAAATTTTCTCAGGGTCCCCCAAAGATTACCAGTACCTCCAATCAGCAGGAAATAGCCTAGAAAACTATGCTCACATCCCTCCCCATCCCCTCAAAAAACAAAAAAACAAAGAAACCCCCAAACCAGATTATGGATGTTTGTCTTTGTTTAGAGTGATGATTGCAAGTTATTACGGAAAATGGTCAGGAAAAAAGCTAAACAAAGGAGATTAGATTATTGATGGGAAATGTGTTGAAGGACCCACAATTTCATAAAAAAAAAAATCATGTCAATACCAAAGGTATTAAAAAAAGACTCTTCCATCACCTGGCAACAAGCCACTAAAATTATATGAAAATGTCCGACTTGTTCTTTAAACAATCAAACACACTACCTGCAGCAAGTAACAACCCAAAGGGTACTCAAAGGAATGAAATCTGGCATATGGGTGTTCCATTTTGTAGCATTTGAAAAACTAAAATATGTACACTACACCATTGATACCTATTCAGACTTTCTTTCATTCTTTTTGTTTGTTTGTTTTGTTTTTCAAGACAGGGTTTCTCTGTAGCTTTGGAGCCTGTCCTGGAACTAGCTCTTGTAGACCTACCAGGCTGGTCTCGAACTCACAGAGATCCTCCTGACTCTGCCTCCTGAGTGCTGGGATAAAAGACATGTGCCACCACTGCCCAGCTCCTATTCAGGTTTTCAATGGGCAACTGCTTTGAGTTTGGAAAAGGCTAATTCAGTAATCATACATTTTCTAGAAGTTATGGCCATCATGGGTATACCTATAAATAAAGACAGACAATACTCCAGCACATGTCTCTAAGAAAATGAAACACATTTTTGCTTATTTAATATAAAGTATATTACACATGTATCACACAACTCTACAGGGCAGGAGGTTATAAAAAATCAAATAGAACTCTAAAGGATGTGTTAAATAAACAGAAAGGGATGATAAATACCCCCAGAAATAGACTGTATAACGCTTTATTAACTTCGAATTTTCTAAATACCAATGAGAAAGCAACTATCGCTGCCGAAGACATTGGATACTTAAAAAAAAAAACTAAGGTATTAAATTAGCCAGTAAACTTTAAAGATTTATTGACTTCAGAATGGAAAACCAGGACATATATTATGTTGAGGAAGGTTTTGCTTTTGTTTTCACAGGAGAAGAAAAGCTATGGATACAATCAAGATGGATAAAGATATGATTTGTACAAGAGACACCTCTTAGTTAGAAGAGATGATAGTTCATCAAACAGCATGGCTGTTTAATCTAAACTAACCTATAACACTAACAAATGCTTTTCATTTCATCAGAAATAACTTGCCAAAAGAAAATCTCCCCTAAATTAGGGTTGGGGTATGGTTTTGTTTCTGTCTTTTCAGGAGAATAAAGGTACCCAGCCAAGAAATCCAAAGAACACTGGACAAATGAGACATCTGAAGATAAAAGGCGAATTTTTTTTTGAAGTTGCTTACTTGTACTTCCTGCTTACTCGTTAATGATGTTTCCTTTCCCAGGTCTCTGAGGGAGCTGAAGACTAGACAGACTAGATGGTTATAGTTTCACTGTTTACCAGATGCAGAAAAGAAATTTACTATGTTGGGAGGCACCAAAAGATAGCTTTGGATGGTAATGCAAGTTATGA